GTGCTTGATCTTTTAGCATTCTTTTATCTTCGTTTCGGAGCACTATCCTAAGATACGGGGGCATTTTGTCCAGTTGTGTGCACACTGGTCAAGTCGTGGTGCATACTTGAACTGCTTAAAGGAATCCTTCGCGGAAAATTCTTGCATTCTTTCTTAACATGAATGTGTCAGTTGTGATCACTGGAAACAGCACACAAAGTTTCACGCATGAAGATTCGGTTTCCGAAGAGAAACAAACGTACAAAAACTACACTCTATGGACAATCGAAGGTAATTCGGGCGGAGCCAAAGGCGAGGCATGGAAAGAAGTTGGCCTTTGGCCGGCTACGTATCAGGCGACGCAATGAAAGAATCGGGTTAAAGCGCGCGATTTCGGAGAGTAGAGACAAATCGATCGATAGAATAGGATGGAGTAGAAGTGTAAGATGTGAATGCAATAAAGCAGAAGGCCAGAAAGAGTTTCTAGTGAAGGCACTCCAAGAACCAAGTGGAAGCATCCCCGTCGCCAGCATTTGTGAAAGACGTCCGTGGGCACTTTGAACGCGTAGCAGCCCTTTCGATTTTTCGAATTTTTACCAAAACAAAGCAATATTTCTGTTCTTTTCATTCTTATCGTGGATAATGAGTCTCAAGCCAGTGATTTATGGCTGAAATAGAATCATGATTTTTCCGTAAAGGATTCCTTTAACATGTTTCTGCTCTGTTTCGGTACGTAACCACAGCAGTGTCAAGGTCAACCGGCTCTTTTGAGCCAGTCCTTCTTTGGAACCATTTCAGCCAATAGGCTCAGCTCTAAGATTTCATCATAACTCGGGTAAAAAGCAACACCTTGGGAAAAATTGGCCGTGATAGATTTTCAAATCACAACTGTTGGAGTGACCCACTACAGCTATCAACGTTATTGCTATAGATGTGCGCGCCATGATGCATGATCACCTGCCACGCATTCCCTTGAGTGCTCTTTGTTTCATCGCCAGTACATCCCTCCGATTGCATCTGCATCATCCGCGCTAGCTTGAAGAGATTCTCACCGATTCCTCGCATTTTTTGATAAGGGGTTGCCCAAATCCTTCAGTGTCCCTTGTTACCTTTACTGAAAATCGTTGCACTTTAATGCGATTAAAAACTGATTATTTACAACAAATAATGGGGTTGCAAATTTTTTTAAAGGATGGCTGCATCGGCCTCTTTAAAGAGGAAATGATTAAATTGATTCTTACATGAGCTACATGAATGAGAAAAATATTAAGTGGAAAGGGTACGGAAAAGTCCAAGTAGACAACGGCAGATAGCGGTCTATCAATAATGTTATAAGGTGCAGTAAAGTGTACGGTGGAATTCAGGCCCACCGTACCCAGGACGCGGTGGGTAACTTTCCTCTCAGAAGTACTTCTCATAGCAAACCGCCTCACCCTGGAGTCTTAATTGTTCCAGCTTTTTGCGTTTTGCATAATTCTTCTGCGCAGAACGAGTGCACATTATTATAACGATTACATATGAAATGGGCAGTAATGGTGAGATCACGAAAGGACAAGTTGGTTGCAAGTTTGCACAGCCAAAGCACCCCAACGTTCGTGCGCGAACCAGCTGGGCGGATCAAGCTTTGTAATCATCGCGGGCGGAAAGGCGTGCTTGTTTGCCTATTTTTGGCAAATTTGGTTGTTGTCCTCTGGATGACAATCATTTGGTAACCCTACACATTCGCTTTCAACCTATCAGCTTATCGCGAGTTTTGTCTTTGAAGACATAAAGTACCCAAGGGTTTCAAATTGCCCGGAGGATTTGGATAAAAGGCGCATTCCGTGATCAGCAGGTGTTTTTGTTGTGCTCGAAAATGGAACCAAGGGTGTCAAGTGCATCCCCTGCTCGAGTACAACGCTGTGGATGGATGAATGGAGGGAGTTACACGTGGAATCCTCTGTGATCGAAGATGCTCCAGAACGCTCAAAGGGAAGGTGTACCGAACAGTAGTCAGGCCTACGATGCTATACGGCAGCGAGTGCTGGCCTCTGAACAAGAACCACGAAAGGCAGCTTCACTCCGCTGAGATGAGGATGCTGAGGTGGGCGTGCGGCTGGACGCGGCTGGACAGGGTTAGAAACGAAGATGTCAGAGCGGTCATGCAGACTGCCCCTGTCCAGCTGAAGGTACGGGAACAGCGTCTGCGATGGTATGGGCATGTGCTAAGGAGGCCACAGGATCATCCGATAAGAACAGCGATGGACTTCGAAGTGCAAGGCAAGCGACCGCGAGGAGCCCCAAAGAAGAGGTGGAGAGACGTGATCAAGAAGGATCTAAGTGAAGTCATGGCCACAGCAGAGGACGCCCTGGACAGACTAAAGTGGCGACGACTGACAAAGACAGCGGACCCTGCGACTGCGCGGGACTAACGCTAGGGAGAAGAAGAAGAAAGTGGCAAATCCCCGTAATAAAGTAACGCTCCGGAAAGATCCGGCTTCATGGTCCACACAGAAACGATACCTTAAGAGGATCTTCACCGCGTAAGTGATCCATTTTGTTTGTGTGGTTAGAGATTGTAGCATTATCGAAACTAACGCTGTATGCTTCGTGGACTTGTGGGTAACTTTCCTCTCAGAAGTACTTCTCATAGAAAACCGCCTCACCCTGGAGTCTTAATTGTTCCAGCTTTTATGCGTTTGCATAATTCTTCTGCGCAGAACGAGTGCACATTATTATAACGATTACATATGAAATGATGGTGCGACAGAAAAGACAAGTTGTTGCAAGTTGCAAAAATCAAAGCAGCACCAACGTCCGTGACCAACTCGTCCAACTTTGAAATGATGGTGGGCGGAAAGGGTGCCGTTAACTTCGACTTTTGGCCGTTTTGCTTGCTTTTCGAGTGCATCATTTGGTAACTCAACATTCCATTTCGACACGCTATCAGTTTATCGCTAGTTTTGTCTTTAAAATGATAGAAAGAACCAAGGAGTTTCAAATAGCCCGGAGGATTTTGGATAAAAGGCGCATTCCGTGATCAGCAGGTGTTTTTGTTGTGCTCGAAAATGGAACCAAGGGTGTCAAGTGCATATACCGGTGCGCTCGAGGTCAACGCATGGATGGTATGAAATGGAGGAGTGCACTGAATTCGCTGCTGTGATCGAAATACTCGAACCTCACAGAAAGGGTGACAAACATAATTAGATGCCTGCGTAGTGCTGTATAGGCAGGAGTGCTGGCTCTGAATCAAGAACCACGAAAGGCAGCTTCACTCCGCTGAGATGAGGATGCTGAGGTGGGCCTGCGGCTGGACGCGGCAGGACAGAGTTAGAAACGAAGATGTTAGAGCGGTCATGCAGACTGCCCCTGTCCAGCTGAAGGTACGGGAACAGCGTCTACGATGGTATGGGCATGTGCTAAGGAGGCCACAGGATCATCCGATAAGAACAGCGAATGGACTTCGAAGTGCAAGGCAAGCGACCGCGAGGAGCCCCAAAGAAGAGGTGGAGAGACGTGATCAAGAAGGATCTAAGTTGATATGTCATGCAAAGCGCGGCCCCCCTGACTGATTAAGTGGACTATTGACACTAATGAAAGCGGACTGCAGACTGCGCGGGATAAAACGCTAGTGAGAAGATGAAGTGTCTGTGGCATTTAAAGGAATCTTCCACGGAAAAAGCTCCGCCCTCATTACCACAGAAAACGATACCTTAAGGAATCTTCCACGGAAAGAGTGATCATTTTGTCTTGTGTGTAGGATTAGTATTATCGAAACTAACGCTTATGTTCCGTTCTTTTTGCTATGCTCATGAGGCTAGGGGCCTAAGGTATCGTTTTTCTGTGGTAATGGAGGCGGAGCTTTTTCCGTGGAAGATTCCTTTAAACAAAGAGGAGAGATTTCCGGAAGTAACTAAGCTTCGGAGAATCCGAGATATGTGCCCCTTCTCTCCCATTCTCCTGCGTTGGTTATATCATGCCAAGTGTATTTGATCCAACTTGAAATTGCCCCAAAATTACAACCGGTTTTTTCATAGTTCGCAAGATTTCTCTGGAATTTGGAAAAAATCTTCCAACTCTCCAGGAAATTCTCTCACGCGTCCTCTCATGAGAAGGTCGCATATGGCTCCTTTCTTCAGAATCGTGAAAAAAATAAAAGATTTGTGGCATATAAAGAAATCGTAAAAGTCTTGTCTTATCCTGCCAAGCGAAACGTTTGCCATGCTCCAGCTAAACCGTAGATTGAATCTCATGCCTTCAATCGGCCTTCAGAAGAGCATTAAACCAGCGAAGTTTATCCCATCAGCATAGTGAATGGTCGGCTTCAGATCAACCTGGAGAACACCTACATGATCACTGCGATCGAAACTCAAGGACGATACGGCAATGGTACAGGACGGGAGTTCGTGGCTGAGTATATGATTGACTATTTGAGACCTGGAAGCAAATGGATACGGTATACGAATCGTACTGGCCACACGGTACGTTCTTCATTTTCATGATTTTCTTTTTATTTTTGGCTAGGATACTAACTGTTGTCCTACTGTCGAGTTGACAACGGCTAGTGTTATTTACAGATAATGACTGGTAATTCTGACACTACTACATCGGTTATGCGTGAGCTCAATCCGCCATTGTTCGCATCAAAGTTGCGAATAGTACCTCACTCTAAACAGACCAGAACCATCTGCTTACGGACTGAATTACACGGTTGTGCTCACAGAGGTTAGAAACAGCTGCTACTCCCGATTTGAATTGATCAATGTAAATTTCTGTGGTTACAGATGGACTGCTTTACTATTCGACTATTCCGGGTGGTTCCCGTGTTGGAGAGGTTGATTTCCGAGACACTACGTTCGAGAATACCGACCTGTACACTGATACGGGAATCAAAAAGGTGCTTACTTCCAAGAAACACGTTTCAAACAAAAATTCAAGTGTTGAAGTATTTTTCAGAGGCCTTGGCCTTCTAAGCGACGGGTATGTAGCTGAAAATTCCCCCTTCGATGAAAAAAATCCAAATGGCTTCGTGGATAGGTTGGAGCAGGCACCATACCGGTGAGCTTTTGAGCGGTTACATGTGGTCTTGAGCAAACATATAGGTTTTTGAAGCCCTGTATTATTCAGAAGGTATGGTGACTTTACTCTTTGAATTCGACCAACTACGAAACTTTTCTGAAATAGTGCTGGTTGCTTACGGACGGCTCAGCAATATAGACGTTATATTTAGGTCAGTTTATTTTTGCAAATGCTTTTTATTTTGACGAACAAAGTATCTTTACGAAAATGAACCACAGAAAATTCACTGGTTGGCGTTTAGTGGTTCTTGGATGCGCCACACATTCGCTTTGTATTCATGATTCCACAGGAGGTCAAATCTTCAGTGCGCCTGCTTTGTTATGTAATAACTACCTATTTTTCTTGAACTATCCCCTACTGATAGTAATTTCGTTTCCATTCGCACCCTTTCTTCGCTCAATAAAAGCCTAATAATACTACAACAAGGATACTAAGTTAAACAATAAATTACAAATGACGGACCTATTTTTGGCCGGACACACCACACACAGCTTTTGGGCTACTTTACAGTGTGCTCTCCAAACCTCCCAGTACATACAGCAGCGCTATCTCTGCTTTTGCATTCCTCTTACGTGTGGTAGTATAGTGAATGGGGCATGAACTGAGGATCATTCCGTCGAAGCCAAAGATCCCGCTGTTAACTCCAGGGCGGGGATGCTTAAGTCGGCCCAGATTGTGTTAGTAGATATTGTGAACAGTGGTCAAAAACCGCTACAGTTTAAGGAGGGAGTGCTCGCCACTTTTACGACGAAATGTGCTGCCGCGTTGCTTGAGCAGGACGTCGAAAGCGGCCACGCCCCAAAAGCGAACGCCACAGTTTATCTTCGTATTGGCGCGACTGCGCGCGGCAGCAGCGGCGCAAATAGAGCATCTCGTTTAAAGCGCAGTTGACATGGTGCCATCCAACGCGTTGCGGTGATCTCGTCCATACGGCCACTCTCTGAGCTGTACCTAGTTCATAGCAGGTGAAAACCGACGGCGACCCCCACCCCCCCCCACCCCCCAAAATTTAGGTCGATTGCGGCCTTTTCTTGACGGATTTTTCTGCTTGTTTCGGCTACTGAGATGTCCTGATGACACCACACGTCACAGAAACTCGTATTTTATCGTATCGTGCTTTTAACACATTGACGACATTGAGACGCGGTAACGCGTCTCACTTTGCGCACCTCGTTGGACATTGAGACGCGGTTGCGCGTCTCACCCTTGTCATCCCTTTTTCTAGCGTATGCGGGATTCTTCCCAATTTGCTTGTCTCTATTCTATGGATTACAACATAACATAACTGTAAACGACATGGGTCACGGTGATCAAATATGCTCCAGTTTAGCAGAAGTTTTTTAAGCACAGCGGAATTGGCAGCTCGGTTCATTCCTCGTTTTCTTCCTATTCTCATGAACATGTCAGTGAGAAAAGGTAGTGAAAGTAAATACAAACTAAAGGGATAGAAAGATATATGTTTCACTTGACACATCCACATCGAAAATAGTTTTGGCATCCACTACAGAGAAAAGGACTTGAATTCCAATTTTCTTTACCATTTCACGTTTTTTGATCGGAATTTCGCTACTATATCTTCGATTACTTTCTACGCATTGAATATTGCTGAAATGGTTTCGTACCTTTGAAGCTTCCCAAGGTTATCGTTCGAAATTTACGGGTGTGAGGTGTGACGGCCGCGCTCGCAAAAGCGCCCTTGTCCCACGCGGTGCAAAAACCCAAAACGCGCGATGTCGTCAACGTGTTAATGATGATCAAATACGTGGCGCATCTCAATGTCACAAATGACCACCGCCAAGGAGCATATTTTTATTTATGTTACCTTTTCATATTTTAACTTGAAACCACAAATTTCAGCGCAGACGGCACAAACTTTTCTCTTTCCTCGCAAATTTCCTCTTTGAGTAGATCTTCAGCAAATTCAACGAGCAAAAGGTACTTTTAGCTGTGCTATAATACTTTGCAGTTAGTCAGTACCATCCACTTCCAGAAATGATTATCGTATTCCACTTCACAAACGAATGGCAAAGAAGATACGTGTAACAATTTGGTTCGCCAATGACTGGATTTTCCTCACAGAGATCCACTTCTCATCAGGTTTAGTTAAAATAGATAAATGGTTGATGGAAAGGCCTTCAGAATTGAATTACACTGAGCGCAATCTTCGCAGCTTCACGCTTATCGTTTCGCTTAGTTCTGAAAGAAAAACGGGACCAGTGGAAGATTTTCTGTAGCACCTATCAGTGAGCCAAGCTATCTTGCAGAAATGAGGTGTTGGTCAGAAGGCCCACCGTAAGGCTGACAGCAGAGGCGCAAGGATATTTCTGGCTAGCAGTCTGGCTGTACTGCAACATCTTGGCGTCAAATCACATGAGTTGTAGTAAATTACGGCGAATACCGGTAATCCACGGAGTGAAAGAAATATAATATAAGGGGTGTAAGGAGGGTCTGAGCAGGGTCAACCGTCCGTTGGACAAAGTCCAACGCGACGACGAGAGTAATGCCGAGAGTGAACGTACGCACGGAGACACAGACGGCTCGCGGGTGGCGAGAGTGAATGCCGGCGCGGAGAGCGGTGAACATCGGTCCAACGTCGCTCCAATATCGGTCCAACGTAACGGTTGACCCTGGTCTGAGGACTATTTCGAGCTTAAAGACTAACTATGGCTTTGTGCAACAGAAAGCAAGAAGCACAGTAAAAAAAGGAACTTTTGGGAATTCTTAATGCAGCTCCCAACTAGCACTGAAATATGGACGGACGTTAGTTTGATTGGAGGCGGTACCTTCCACAAGGGATGCTGTGAGCACGACGCTGTATTTGCCACGCCCACCTGGACGAGTTACCTCTACTGTTTATTTTGCTGCATAAATAAAAAGCTATAGTTAGCTACGCAGATGTCAATGAGGCGTTACTGTGCATACAACTCTGAGATAGTCGTCATCGCCTTACAGCTCTCAACAACTCTCATGAAATATAATTTTTCAAATTGAATATGAATATTTCCAATCGAGTTAGTCCAAAAAAATACATTAGGCTTTGAATTGTTGTTTATCGAGTTCAGCTGCTTTAGGTCGATTGCACGATGAGCCAATAGGTTATAATCGTGAGTTACCAATTGTAACTACCAGACGTGTGGTTGATGACTACCCCGGTGTCTCTTTTTTAGCGTTACCGTGTTCCCTAACGTTTTCACCACTGCTCAACAAAATCATTTACATAACAAGTATCTTTCAGTTTACTTCAACGAGTCCATTACCACAGTCACTCTACAAGAGGAAACCATGTTCACGCGGAAAAGTGTTTACAGTGCAATTGGTAAGCACTTTTCTCTATCCAGAGTTTGTGTTTGGGTATCTGTGGCCGTTCCGGGTGTGTCTCAGGCAGGGTCAAGCGTGCGTTGAGGAATCCTCGACATGTCACAGAGGGGGGGGGTCGTATTGGCCCGCTGGGGAGAGATCGGGCCCGATTGATACAGTAGGATCATCGTCGGAGGACAAACATTAAGGATCGAATCGATACCAGGCCAGAGTATTTCCAATAACAATTGATTCCGTCCACACAAAATCTTCGTGATTTAGAGGTGTCCGCTTAGCAATTCTTAGTGACTTTAGTGTTTCATCACCACACAAGTCAAAGGATCCGAAATTCGCACGTTTTCTAGGGATATTTTATCTTTCAAGTAGGTCCTCAAATCCAACGAGATGTGAAGCACACGGCGCATCCCAGAGTGGGCCCAGTTGGTTGCGCGCGCTTCAGCTACGGCTATCTTGATAACGAATCTTAATTCAGGAAGAATCAAGAGGGTTCTGAAAGAGTTCATGTTAAATACAGAGAGGAGTACACTATTCAACAAGAAACGCAGCCTTCAGCGTCAAATTCACAAGCATGTAACCTTTAAAGTTGAGACCCGCTAAACAATTTTACACTTTTTGCAGAGAGAAAAGCACGAGGATTTTGAATCTGCTCCTACTTCAGTATGTAATCGCTCCTGCAAGGAGCTATAGTCGTTGGGATAGTGCTAATGTAGCGAAAAAGTGATCGTTCTCGGCCGCAGGTAGCTCCGCACCCTCGTTCCGCAAAAATCCTCAACGTGGCCATTTTTTAAATAGTGAACGTATTTAGCAGTTTTAGTTGCCTCTAGAAAGAGCAAATCTTCTAGTTTATGATGACGTATTAACTTTCCAGATTGCATGAGTTTGAACGGAGTTATGGCTTTGGAAAGCGTAAAAACTCGCACTCATCACGAATTTTCCTCGTTAATTTTGCAAAAATCCTCAACGTGGCCATTTTTTGAGTACTGGACGTATGAAGCTGCTTTAGCGACCGTTTGATAGAGAAAATCTTCTAGTTTTGTATGACGTATCAACTTTTTGAATTTGACGGAAATGAAGCAAGTTATTGCTCCGGAAAGTGTAAAAACTCGTGCTCGTCGAATTTTCCTCGTTATTTGATCTAAATTTGTTATTTCTTATAACTTCCTGTAATTTCAGTACTGATTAGAAAAAGCTCTTCACAAAACTCCCAAATCAGCTTTCAGATTGAAAATTCGTTAACTTTGAAGAAAGTTATAATCATTTGAATATTTGTTCAAATTTCAATAGTAAATAAGCTGCTCCACGGTCAACGCCAAAGTCCAGTCAACACACAGCTGGCGAAGGCTTTTACAAGGCTTCCTTTGAGCGAAAGGGGGACGTGTAAATTGAGAACCATAATCTGTGTAGTACTAGAATTTGGTAAGTCTTGTGGAGGAAATAAACAAAGAAGAGGTGTTGTCATAGTACGCCATTTCTAGTGACTAGTTTGACGTTTTTTGCTCCGTTTCTCGTTTGCTCGTTTGACAGGACTCGTCATTAATGATCATTCTTTGACTTTTTCACTTTTATACTTTTTAAACGTTTTTTTGTGGACGATGGGGTAGCAGGGCTTTTTTATGAGCAGTTTTGGTGGAGAATTAAACAACTTTTCATAGTTCGGCTTTTAAAGAGGGTTGTTTCATGGACTTCGGCCTTCGGCAGAGGGAGGGGGGGGTCGTATTTCCGAATTTTCCTCGACGCCTCGCTTGACCCTGGTCTCAGGGGAGGGCGGCTCGCCTTGGATCGCCCCCCTCGCAACCCTCATCACACCCCCATCTGGTATGGGCGAAATAGAGTCTCTTTTGGACCTTGTATTTTGAATCTTTGCAACTTGTGGAATCCTACTATTTAATATGGATCACTCCTTACAATATTTTATTTACGATTCGCTTTCTCCTTGGTTTTACACTAGTTCAAGAAAACGCTTACGTCTTATGCATTGCTCAAATTTGCGTATACCCACTGAATTACTGTCAGAAAGACGAAAATAAATAAGTCAGACAGAAAAAGGCAAATCCGCCAGCTGAAGTAACGTTGCATTTGGCTAAGGGAATGATTTTGTTCAGGGTGCTCAGCCTTTTTAAAGATGTCCTGAGAAGGCAATAGGACATTGAAGAAAGGCCTGCAGCTGTAGTCAAAAAGAGGTCCAGTTGAACTTGTCAAGAAAAATCTGTACCATACTTGTAGTGATAAGGTTAAGCGCTTTGGGTAGGATTAACACTTTGAGTGGGTTTACTGCTCAATAACGCTGGAAAATTATCCCTCCTCCATCATAACAGCCCGGACCATAGTCTATGTAACTTGCTAGATCCTTTTCTATTGTCCACGGCCAAAATTTAAGCAGGTTAGTAACATAATTTCTTAGTATGTCAAAATCAACCTGTTTTTCTATTTTGGCTCTGAAAATTCCTAGTTCTGAGGGGTAAGGGTTTTACCTCTATCGTTAGATGGAAAAATGTAATTGAGTCATTTGATCAGCAGTGTTTTTGATAATGAAAAAAATTCCCGTTTTAAACTCATGGTAAAAATTGACACTGAGTACATATTTTGGTTTCTAATGCGTTAAACTCGTAGCGTTTCTCATCCACCTTTTTTCAGGGCTTCTTGCACTACTCACACTTCTAACCGTGACGTCGTGCATTGCACTGATGCGAAGGAGGAAAGCAGAAGACAAGTTCAATGGGTTCGAAGAAGACATACGGAAAAGTCTCATAATAACCCAAGTTAGAGGAAAAACCGCTACGGAAGTGCTGTCGTCACGTCATCCTCCACCTCACATCATGTCCAATTTGTATTCGACTACTAAGACGACAAGCACAAGGTTACATATCAATGCGTATTTTGTAAAGGATTCCTGTAAAAGGATAGTGTACAATGTTGATATATACAGCCTCTCCTCAAAAAGCGCTTCACCTAAGTTTGGAGCAGCAACATGGAACGATTTTCACTTTCCGCCACCACCTTCGGCTCCAAGTTCGTTTTCACTTCTCTCCAATAAACACGTTTTATTTTAACGAGGTCAGCATGCGAAAACCAATTCTTTCTGCATTTTTTTCAGTTGAATTAAGAGGTGCATTGAGGCTTTCCTGGTTGATAGCTACGTTAAGCTCGTTGGAAAGCAAAGGGAGGATCGTTTGTAGGTCAAAGTGGTTGCTCGAGTCCCGCTGCAGAAGTGGCGTCATTCCACACGAAAATAAAAGGAATATTACCTTCGAGTCAGAATATAGCAAAAGAAATCATCGCACATTCAAGGCGGAATTCCTTCTTTTGTGAGTTCAACTGTGGGGCATCGGGGAGACACAACGCGCCCAAGATGCAAAGTATATGAGGGAGCACGTCATACGAGACGGTGCAGGCAAGAAGCCATAGGACATTGATTCAGGGCCGATTACCACAACTCGTGGTAAGGCCCCGCTTTTGAACGGGGTCTGTAATTGTTGTGAACGGCTTTAGCCTACCCATTGACGAGATTGCTCCAGTAAAGCAGCCGTGAAGTATGCCTTTAAATGGTGTCAGAAATTCTCCATGACTCTGTATAAAGTACCGTTTATCAGACAAGTTACGCAGCGTTGTAATCAACACCCAAATTGGGAGTATCTGACGGTATATGTACATATCCTTTCAAACGCGCTTCGACTCCTACCCTTGTTCTTTCCTCTCAGGCTTTCGATCAGACTAAACGACGACCTCCTTCAATGCTTCTGACCTCACCCGAGCGCCTCGCTTCTGCTCCAGAAGCATTCATAATCCTGAAAAAAAAATTCTCGAGTTCCGTCCTTGCATGTTTTTAGGTCTCCATTCCAACAGATAATAAAGGATTACGCATCAATAAAGATTGGGATACGCCGCGCTCTCTAGTTCCACTCATAATCGTAGTTATTTTTGTTTAAGATCTGGTCTATACAATGACGTTCGGGGATCAACCGATGTACATGTCGCTGTTTTTATTTTTCTAAACGCTAATACCAATGATCCCAGAACCATGTGCGTGGTACAAGGTGTAAGATACCATGACACCACTCTCACCCTTCCAGAATTCGTAGATTCATATGAATCGTCGCCATCGCTTGGTATCCACTTTGATCATGTTCATTAAATGAAATCAAGCTTACCCATTCTCTGATCAACTCATAATCAGTATGATAAACATTTAGATGAGAGAAGTTCCGATGGAAACGCTCATCAGTATGCTTCAACCTTACTCAGAGAACAGTAAGTATCGCCTTTTTAGCCATCTATTATTTGCCTCTTTGTGATCATTTGGATCAGGAAAATTATTTTGCTATAATATATCGTGCAGGAAGTAGTTATGCTTGGTACCATTTATGTTTGCGATATTTCTTAATCGTTCTGGGAAAATGAGGGTGTATTCCTCAAGGTAGCCAAAGTCGTCATCGTAGTTGAGTCTGATTTTCGCATATTGCAAAATCATATAACCTTAATGGGACGGAATTTTGAGAAAAGTTGTTTTTTTTTGTTCATAATGATTTGAAAACCCTTATGAAGATTCTCTCCTCACGTCCTAGTTCCGCGTATATAACATTCTTCTACTTCTTCTCGACCACATTTTATTTCTTGGCCTTTTCAAATGATAGCTTATTACTCGCCACATTATATGGCACGGAAGCGCCGTCATTCGAACAAACGTATTGAGGTGCAAGCAATGACACCCCGGATAAAACCTATTTATTGCTAAAAATCCTGTCAATTGACATATACAGGGGAGGGGGAGGCAAAAAAAAGAGTCACTTCCATTCACATTCAAAACAGAATTAATTACACTTTGCCAAACCAAACCGAATGAGCTCAATTGCATATTGAAGAGCACATTCTATTCTATCAAAAAATTACATAGGGCTTTCTACACCGACGACATCAGAAGATTTTCCCACGGAAACATGGTTCACGGTACGAGCTCAACGAGGTCGTCGAGAAACCATAGACGATTACGACGTCTCTGAAACGCTGGTCAAAAGCCATCTTGCATAGTCAGAGCTAGTGTCCCTAAGAAGCCATTCACCAGTTATCCGATTGAAGAAATTATGTAGCAGCTTCAGAATGGAGCGATTATGGTAGGCCTCCTTGAGCTCGACGGTGATGACAGATGACGTCATATTCTGGAGACGGCAGCGAAGGTGGGCCTGATTCTGCTTATGGGGGGACATCTAAGGAATATTTCGCCGTATAACTCCCAATAACAGCGGCATCCTTTGCGACGAAAAGTTTGATGATATGCGCCATGGGCAAAGTGACTTTTTTTTGCCCCCCCGTATACGGTTCCGTGGATACGATCGTGTGATGTAGCCGGCGAGAACCTAGACAAACAAATAAATATACATAAACAAATGGGGGAGGCAAAAAACGAGTTACTTTGCTCATGGCGCACATCATCAAACTTTTCGTCGCACAGGTGCCGCTGTTATGGGAGTTTTACGGCAAATTTTTAGATGTCCTCCCATAAGCAGAAGCAGGCCCTCCTCCACTGCCCTCAGAATATCACGTCATCTGTCATCACCGTCAAGCTTTTAAAGGCCTACCGTAGTCACTCCAGTCTGCAGCTTTGCATTATTACTTAAATCGGGTGAAACTCCAGTTCGGGGGGGGCCACTCCATTTTTTCTCCAATACTCAAGATAAGGATTAGAGGGCTCACGACACGTAATCGACTCATTTAAAGTAGACTTCTGATAAATATTGGTGTAATGGGTGAGAAACCCTGAAACGTTTTCACATTTCCGCCTGCCATGACCCAAGGGAACGGTCCTGGACCAGGAGAAAGGACACCTCCGCAAAGGGCTAAGGGTGCAGGAGCTCCAGGGTGGATCACCTGTGCAGAAAAGTGGATGGGATGTGGGCAGGTAGTGTGGAATGTAGGACATCCACCGGTCCTTATCAAAAGTACGCTCGAAATGAGTCGTTCACTTATTATCTTATCCGTAGTGTTCGATAGCCCAAAGAACTGCTCTCTAGTACTACGGATAAGATAGCAATGGAGTGCCCCCCCGAACTGGAGTTTCACCCTTAAATCGATTACCTGGTGGATGGTTTTCTAGAGAGGTTGGCTCGAATTTGCAAGACTGCTTCTGACCAGCGTTCCAGATAATGTCGTAATGACCCACGATCCGTCATGACCTCGTTGAGCTTGTACAGCGTTACCGAAGGAAAATTACTGATTCCACCGGGGTAGAAGGCTATCATGAAGTTTTTGGATTCACTGGAATGTGCTCTTCAACATCCACTTGGGACTACTTGGTTTGAGTCTAGCAAAGTGTGACTAACTTCGTTTTAAATGTGCAAAGAAGTGGTTTTTTTTCACTCCCCCCCCCACCCCTGTGTATGTACAAATAAACACAAAACTATAGTTACAGAAAAAGAAGTCAAAGCGACAATGGGCTTTTGTCATGATCCGTTGTCTCCATTTTCATATATCTTTGTAACTCATCTTTTGATAATTCTTTTTATCATTCTTTTTTTTCTCTCTGAGAATGAGGGCACAATCGACAAGGAAAAAGGCGTCCATCCATCAATACCAATGCGATTCGTAATAATTACAGCAGATTCACTTCAGGGCTGAGAAAATTATCAAGATCCCCTCTTCAACTCTACAACTTGGAGCAGACCTTGGCCAAGGAAAGCATACAATTGTTCGGGAATGTTACGTTCCCACCTTAGGAAATGTCGCCTACAAAACCGCTAAAGACCGAGACAGTTTCTATGCAAGGTTTGTTATGTGAATTTTGGAAGCTATGTTTTTTGAGTGTGCTTGATCGCAGCTATATCAAATTCCATTCATAGGTCAGGTTTTGCATTTTGGCCAAGTGAGGAGAGCTGCAGTTTTGTGACTGTGGTTGAAAACTTTAAAAAAGTTACCGATTCCTAAATAAACACGACTTTGTTTACCTACTTTCCAAACCATGTTGATTACTAGTTACCTTAGGTTATGATCTGTAAAATGTTTCAGAGAATTACGAGGCAAGTCCCGCAAGCTGCAAGAAACTTTGAACTAGGGGTGCCGCACCACAAAAAAAAACGCGCTTTTCCACGCGGCCAGTTAGGCACGACACCCAATGGTATAGCGCTATTGTCGAAGTGTGAGCGTGGGTTTCGTTCGCTTGCAGTAATGCTTGTGCGAGATTTTCAAAATGAAGAAGGTGCAGCAATGAAGGAAAAATGGTGAAAATTTACTTGAATCCTCAAAAAATGGCCCTTTCCTTTCCCGTAACTTACGTGTTGGGCGACTATCTTTGGTGTTCACGTCATCCAAAAACGCTCTGCTCTGCTTCTATTAGCGTCCGACGGCGAAGAATCAGCAGTCATCGGAGGAGGGCAAGAAGATGTCCACATTTAGGGGACCGGTTAAGCCCGTTACGTCGCTCGGGGTGCCTCCTTCCCCACAAATGTACGTGCTAGCTCTCACTCCCTAGGAGCCCAGCCTTCCTTCTTGGTAGGCACATTCTCCTTTCTTTGAAGTCCAATTTAACGTTCCACCCGCCTTTAAGGAGAGCACCATAGCAGAGGTGGTCTCCTCTGAGAGAGTGATGGCATTTCTCAAAGCCAAGGGATAAGAAAAAGCGGAAACACTTCTGTCGCTGGGCGTCTTCGAGCAGACGGTAAGACACGCACAGACAGATGCATTCCCTCTGCGATGCGGACCCCTTTATCTGGTTAACGAAACCACATCCTTACACGAATATGTCCCTAGAAAACCGAAGCAAACTATTTACACGTTAGGACGCTCTTCAGTTTTCCTTCCTATGACGATCATTACAGAAATGCTTTATTCGATGAGCTGAAGACATTGACATTTACGAAAAACCCACATATCGTGCGCCTTCTGGCCACAGACGACAGTGGTGGTCTCTTACTAGAGCTTGCCGTTGAAGGAAATGTGAGGCAGTACTTACAATCGCAGACAGTTGTATTACCGTGAGTTAATTTTTCATTGTTATTTCTTTCACCGTCTTTTTGCACGAAGGAGTTGCCTAAACAAGGTCAGAACCCGTGGTAGTACATGTACTATAATAGTGAAGGCCAAATTGACAAAATTTTCAGGACAACCCAGTTATTAGGAATTTGCGCGGACGTCTGCGAAGGTATGCGATATCTGGAGTCGCTTGGTCTCGTACATGGTCATCTATCGCCAACTAATATTCTTATAGACGAGAATTCGAGGGCAAAAGTAAGTGTATAACTTGATTGTTACCACCATGATATTTTATTTGTTTATTTATTTTGGATATTTCTTATGAAGAAATTGCGTACAAAACAGTAAGACTGGCATACATTTTGGACGCTGTCGCCAGATAAGGGGGCATCCTCTAAAACTAAACCTAGGATAGGGCAAGAATTCCAGGGGAAATGAGAACTCCACGAACTAGGAGTCTCTCCTTCCCCTCCTAAGGCTTGGCCCTTTTCAAACGAAATTTTAAATTCATTGCCATCGCAATGCCCCGTACCTTGTAATAGCACCCAACTTTGTTACAGTAACCTTAAAGGAGGATTTCACGATTAGAATGGAAGGTCGAGGAAGAAGTAATTGACCTAGTTGAGGGACCCACGGACCTCCTGAGGGTGCGAACTGATGCGCAATTCGCATCGAAAAATTTGACCTCGGCGACCTATTATGCCTCAAAGTTGGCGGGTCCGGCGATCTCCGCCCACCGATCATCTGATCACTCGCCGCAGTCTATACGTGGCGAGTGATTAGATAGCAGAGAGAGCGTGTGTTGAAGAGGGCACAGCGATGAGAGTCGCATCAATGCTCAAATCAACGGGCAAGGAAGGGGTCCCATTTCTCGGGTTCTGGGCCGTTTCTCATGGTTCTTCCTTCTTTCGTGTACCACTCACCATCCCTGAGTTTGAAATGGGTTGCCTTTTCAGCGTGAATTCGTCCTTTAATGACTATTGCTGATGCGCAAGAGGTGAGAGCGAGAGGTGAGCATCATGTGAAACAAAAATCACGAGCGTTCCGACCCTATTCCGCAGCTTATTTTCTTGAACCAGGAAAGGGGATAAAAGTTTGAGTTAAGAAGATGCAGAAAACATTTTAGATCATAAATGACTCTCCTTCAGTCATGTGACACTATATGATCGTTCCAGGTAGCGTCGCCCAGAGGCCCATCCCATCACGCACAGCTTCGCTACAGTGCACCAGAGTCCATATTGAAGGTAAAGCTGCCCCAGTTCACAGTACAACAACCTCCATTTGATTCAAAAAATCTCAGAATGCCTTTTCGTCGAGCTCCGATGTTTGGGCGTTTGCTGCTTGCTGTTGGGAAATCGTTGAAACTTCCTGCACAAGAACACCCTTCGACTTCACTTTCTAACACCGACGTTGTTGAGAATGCACAACGAATGCTGGCTGGCTACGACGATGTGGTAAGTTCCGACAGTGGAATGACTCGAATTGAGGCTATATCCCAAATTACGCTATATTACTTCTTACAGGCTGCTCTCACCTTCACCGAATGCGTTCCGAGAGGGGTGCGGAACGTTTTTGTACGTTGTTTCGACGTTGATCCTCAGGCGCGGCCATCGTTCGCACACATATCTTACTTTATGAGCAAATATTACGTGGCTCCTGCGTAGCAGTGAATGTCTATATAGAATCCTAGAAGACCGAAGACTGTGGTGATCGTTCTCACGCAGAATATCATAGAAGTTGCTCACCTCATCTACCTCGTTTCCCTAGAGTGAGCGATGGCAAAAGCCGTGACATTATTAACTACAGGTGTTATGGGCATGTGCCAAATGTCGCTAATTAACTTTATGGATATCCACTTGATGTTTGAGTACCTCAACCTCCTCGATTTCAACATTGAAATCGCAGTTTGGCATGATTTTCGGCATTATCACTGTTATCACACCATGCAATGGCACACTTATCTCTGAGAGCATGGGTGAAGTCTCTCTGACCACTTGGCGTTCCCCAATGGCGGA